ATTATTGCCATTTTATAGATGAAGCAACTGATGCAAACAGAAGTTAAATGACTTGCCAAGGGGTCACATAGCTAGTAAGTGTCTAAGTGTGAAATGAAGTCTTACTTCCTAACTTCAGGTCTAGAACTCTACAAATTGCACCACGTAGCTGTCTCAAATTGATTAACCTAATTTAACAAAGGCCTTGCTGGAACTGAAAATGAAGGTTTCTGAAGAAAATATAACCAAAAAGTATCCATCTGTTTTCTCAATAAATTATAGGAGAGGACTCAGAATGGTAGAAGGAAGAAAGCACTGGATTAAAAGGACATGGATTCAAGTTGTTAATCTCCTATTTAGTACTTCTGTAACTTTGTTCAGGCAAATTAACTTTACTGAGTATCAGAATTTTCTCCTGAAATGAAGTTTGGACTAGGATACTAATGCCCTTTATAAACTCTGAATTCATGATCTTATTAGATTTCTGCAATAAATTAATGAATACATTTGGAAATGAGAGACTGGGAGTTAAAGGTTCTGATGAAGTTGAAATGAACTATTTGATTTTCTTTAGCTCATAATATATGTTTAAAAGCATTGCTTTAGATATATAATTGATTTCAAAGTATTTGATACTAAATGAAATTGTTACTTATCAATGTTTTTTGCAAGTGTGATTGCTTTTGGACTCAACAAAATTACATTTCTTCTGCTGGAGAGGATATTTTAGTACCCACCAATCTTGCTTAGCTATTTGTAAACACTAGTCAATATCAACTCATTTAAAGCAATGAGCCGCAGTTTCCCTAGAGGAAGACACCTTCTAAGCTGGCAATTTTGTTTCACAAGGATGCTTTAGATTCCAAGCCTGCATGGATGTTGCATTTATGGACAGTAGGCCACCAAATCTAAGGAGTTGAGAAATGTTCAGATACTGTGTCAGGGGGGCTGACCATTAGCTAGCATTCTGCCAGTGAAACTAGATTTTCGATGCTATATTTAAAAAAAAAACAAATTTATAGCTTACATTACATTTTCAAAGCATTTTTTTCAAATAGCCTTGTTTTATAGATGGAAAATAAAATGTATTTTGCCTATAATTGATATATACTTTATGAAACTTCCAAAACTATGTTAGTGATTCACATTTTAAAAAAGTGGCTTTTAGGATTCCTCATGTATAGTTATAACTATGTTCCTGGGGTGGGGTGGGGGCTCTATGTATTAAATCAATCCATAGTTTGAGAATAGGTTATAAATGAATGCGTTCCATGTATCACAAGAGGCACTAGAAGGGTTAACCATATTGATCTGGTCTTTTGTTGATTTTTGCTTACTCAATAGGTCGCTCTGAACTGAAAAGAACAGTCTGGGTTTATTTTTTTAAAAGCTATTTAAAATAACACATGAACACAACATACATATTTTCCATATTTTCCCAAAAGTCACAAAATAAAACTTTTATGATCTAGTAAGCTACTAGGCTACAATTTTATGGATACTCTGTGTGTGTGCATGTGTGTGTAGACATATAGAATATACACTTAGTTGTTATATCTGATCTCTTCTCACTTCAAGTATGTGATAAGCCTTAACTATGCAATATTAATGAAGTATTAAAACACAATGATCAAGCAAAAGGATTATTGTTATTGCTATTCTGCATATGGACATATTAAAAATTTTGGCAAAAGACTACCTACAAACAAGAGGTCTGCCACACTACATTTCTGAAGAAATCCAGTGAGTCATACCCTTGTGGATATAACATCTTGTGCGCACATGAGCATAAATGTGCATGGCCCCAAGTTTGTAGACTTGAAATGTTTTTCTTCCTCTCCACACTGAACTGGATACTAAATTATCCATTTTCCTAATCTGATTTTTGGAACATTTATAAAAATATTTCTTTATAACTGGTCACCCCTACAAGCTGAATTCCCCCCTCAGAGCATAAAGGATATGGGTGAAGAAGATTGTGGCTGATTAACCCACTGTCAGGGTTAGCATAGTTCATATACTACAAGTGTTGAAGCTGGCTTCAACAGGCTTATGCTAACAGGGACAGAGCTATGCTCAGTTAAAACTACAAAATGCATTATAAACAACAAAGGGTGCACATTTTGTATCAAAATTAAAATGCTGCATTGAAATGGAAGGGATTTGCAGAGGATGCAGAGTGGAAACAGGGCATGTTGCTGCCCGTAGAAATATTCTTGAAAATTCCCTGCTCAAAAAAACATGCACTTGCCATTTCATGGCAATTCATTTTTAATTAAGCCTTGAAGATGCTGTGAAGGGTCTTCAGGAAAACTCTGTCCTTGATACTGCCTCCCGAGGTAACCTACTTCAAGGGACAATGAAGTCCATCTTTTCAAAGCACCAGAAAAGATGCTTTATCTCTGCTTTCTGCAGTTTCTCAGTCAACCAGCTAAAATGCAGCTTGCTATGGAACACAAACAGGAAAGCAAAGGACTGTCAGCTTCTGTGCTGGCTCTCTCTATCTATTTTCATATAGTTAGACACTCATTTTTTTTGTTATACTCAAAAGTTCACTTGAAATTAAAAAAAATCCACACACATTATGTAATATTATGGGGAGGAGAAGGGGATAGGTTGGTTTTCTGTATCCCTCCTCCCCCTACACTAGTAAAGAAAGAGTAGTAGACTACAGACATAAAGGGCTTGTTCAAGTATCCTTAAAATAAAACAATCACCACTTCTTTTCCAGGAGCTTGTTAACCCTAACTCTTCTGGGATTTAATTTTTTTTTAATTAAAATAAAGCTAAGTTGATACTTAGGAACCTTAATTAAATGAATGCAATGGTAGGAATTTCTTTTGAGGGGCAGAAGAAGGAGAATCAAAAAAGACAACTGTGTTCCCCTTGGATTTTTACCTTAAAGTATTCCATTTGACTACATTTACATTACACTTGTATCTCCCTATTTACTGCCCTCTAGTCTAATTTTTTTTTTTTAAATTAAGCTATAGATACTGTTGAGGCAATTAAGGAAAGATTAACCAACATTACATACTGTTCAACAAGCCCAATCGGACTACTCTCCATTCCCCACATTCTTTGGAAGGATAAAGGGAGAAGAATATGAAAAGAAAGAGGGGATTTGAAGCCGTTATTATTTTAACCTATCTGAAAAAGTCTTTATGCAATCAGGGCTATTATTTCAGGAGACAGTGAGAAAGGGGCAAAAGATTCACGTTGCTAAGGAAACATGTTGAAGCTGACATTCCTACATAAATTTCCATTTATATTGGAGAGAAGAAAGAAAAGGTATTTTCTTCCAAAGTTTGTTTGGATACCCCGGTTACTTAAGAGAGACGTTTTAAAGAACCAATCTGTGTCTTCAGTTGTAAACAAGCAACCTCTAACGAAATGAAAGCACTATATATTGTCCTCCTGTCAGCCCACTTGATGGTGAATTAAACAACCACCACCAAGAAATTGTCACTATATATTTTGAGTCGATATTTTCTCGGCTCAGAGTGAAAAAAGAAAGACTAAGACAAGAAACTCGACCAATTAAAACTACTTTCTTCCATGCCAAGGAAACGAAGACAAAGACAAATCCCAGGGAGTTAGTTTTTAGTGCTGGTGTGAGTTTGGGTATAACTTGCCAACATGTCTAGTGAAGCTGCACAAGTTTTCTCAAGAAAACCTAAACTTACCCACTTATGATGAAATCTAACCAGGTTCATCACATGTCAGTGTTTAATGTCCAACGTTCTATTTCTTTTAGTAGGAAAATCTTTTTTGACTATACCCTTTCTTAGGACTAAAACCAACAGCCGAAGAATACAGAATGGTAACAATAGCATAGCAACAAGAAAGTAGGAGGAGGCTGAGGAGGCCGGCAGACAGTGTCAGAGGGAATATACCCCAGACCGGGGCTAGGGGGGCCAGTAGGGTCTCTTGGTGAAGGTGGTGGGAACCTAGGCAGTGGGTGGAGGCGGGCATTGATGAGTATGAAGGCGGGGAAGCCAGATATCGCAAGGCAGAGGAGTGTATTTGTTTAGTACCGAAGGAGAGGGTGATCCATTGACTCTCGCTCTCCTCTCAACCAACCCCTACCCCATAAAGGAGGCTGATCAATGCAACCTAAATATACAACCGGCAGTAGAAGTCACAACTTTTTAGACATCTGTGAGCAGTTCACCCCGGAGAAAGAATGAGGATTTTTAGGGACGATGGGCGGAGGGTAGGGAAAGGAGAAAAGGAAAGAAGATGAGAATCCGGAAAAAATCACTTACTGTGACACCAAAAAAGGAAATTCAAACCATTCGCTCTGCTCTATTATCCCTCCAAACCTGCAGGAATAAAACCCTAAGCAAAAATTGGACTGGAAAAACCCAGATAGGATAGAGTTGAACACCAAGAGAGGAAAAAATAAATAAATAAATTCAGAAAAATTACTTTCTCAGAGTAAGAAAGGGGAGTGGAGTGGGACACAGTATCTAGGAAGACTACTTGGGTCTCGGGGGGTGTTTTGTTTTGCTTTTCCACCTTTTGAAAAATGGGAGCGGAGAAGGCGTTATGTTTTTAAAACCTCCACATGGTCCTTGCCGCAAATTATAGCAATTACAGAAAATACCATGTGTTACTTGTGAGCTAAAGGAATGGCCAAATGAACGGAGCACTGAGGATTGGGGCGGGGGAAGTGGGGGGGAGGCGCTCGAAGGAGAGCTTAGTAGGAAGAGGTTTGGCCCAGGGCCTGGGGTGGAAAAGGCGTTTGGGATGTGCCTGAGGAACTGAGACCAAGGGCTTGAGTTGGGAAGGGATTGCAGACACTAGTTGGGAGAGTCACGCGGGAGCCAGCAGGGGTTAGCTAGCCTGCGAGAAACCAGATACCACTGGGGGGGCGGGGGGTTAGGCGGGGGCAGCACTTCGCGGCTAACAGAAGTAGGAGAGGGAGTCGATGCGCTGTGGCTTGGGGACAGCTAAGAGCACAGGGAGGAGCGCGGGGCGGGCTGGGAGGAGGAGGTACATTACAGAAGAGCTCTCACCGCTGTTCAGAGTGGACTCGCAGTGCCAGATGTCTACGTTGGCGGGTTTCCGGCAGCACTCCCACAGGGACAGGTAATATTGATGATCCGCTGTGACCCAGGCTGGGCTCAGTACGGCTCCCAGGTCCAGACACAGCGCCAGGAAGATGCATACCAGCCCCACAAGCTTCAGCGGGGTCAGCACCGACACACGCACCTCCTCCATCCCGCTGCCAGCTGAAGCCATGCCCAGGGGAGCCGCTACCAGATCTGGCCCCCAGCAACTCTGGCCCCCTCTGGAGTTAGGAGACGATGCAGCACCGCTTCCAGGGAGATGTAGGGCGAAAACACGCACAGAATGAAATAAAATAAAACTCCACTAAAATAATCATAGAAATAGCAAGCCAATCCTGTAGAAGTAACAATCCTGTAAGAGTTCCTGCCTCCCTTACCCCACCCCCCAGATCTGGCTGCTTGAATGAGAAGAATGGTCAGGAATGCAGCTGCTGCGAAAGGTGATAGAGGGTGGAGAAGAATCCTTTCGCGTCTATTCCAGGTGTTGCAGCCGCTGAAGGCAACCGCGGCATTGGCAGCTCAGAGCGTTAGCTGCCCTGTTCCCCAGCGCTTAGCTCTCTTGCTCTCTCACTCTATGCAGTGCCCAGTTTCCAGCTCTGCCCAGCTCGCTCACTCCTCCCATCTCCCCTCCTCCTGTCTGCAGGGAGGCGGGGAGGAGAAAAGGAGGGAGACAGGGAGGAAAGGGCGGCAGCGTCACTGTCCGGGTTTTGCCAAGGATAGATTAGAGAAAGGCAGATAACTCTGTCGCCCCACAATCTGGCAAGCCAAGCAACAGTCGGTGGGGTGGGGTCCCGGACACAAACTCTTTCTCTCTCTCATTTACTGGGCTTCTTACTGAGCTGTTACTGGACAATTCCTAGAAGATTCATTGCCCATCCCCCACCAACCCTTTACTTTCCCTGTCACCTCGCCCTCCCCCAAACCATGTCATGTGGTTTTTCTTTTTATAGCAGAGAAGGAGGGGTCTTTTTCTAGAAGGCGTCAGATTTTTAACTCCTCCTAGGTTTTCTATCCACAGCTGTTGCTGGCAAGAGATTTATCAGCTGCACTGTCAGGATTCAGTCATCCTGCTGGTCCTCTAGTGTGACAGAGAGGTGTTAGTATGTGAAAGAAAAGTTAGTAACATTTTTTCTCACTTTTCCAACCCAGGACTCAATCTTGTTTTCCCAAACCCCAACCCCTCTGTTTCCCCCTGCATATGTCTACTCCGTTTTTGATCTGATGCTCTTTCTTCTTTGGACTTGCCTTTTCTTAGGCACCTAGCTACAACAGATGTCCCAGTTGCTTTTGAAAAGAAACAAAGGAGGGTATCTTTGTACAGCATAAAGTTCCATATGTGAGCTAGTCTGGGAAGTTCATTTACTCCACAGAATTTACTAAATTCAACACGTAAAGGAAACTGGGGGTGGGGTAGGAGTTAGGTATAAAGAGGGCTCTGCCCTTAGGGAATTGAAAAAAGTGACAAAACATTTGCAAATTAACTATAATACAAATTAGATTATAACTATGTAAGTTCAAAGAATAGTCCATTCCTACAGAGGAAGATGATTCAGTAAGGTGAATCCTTGAAGGATTTGGAGAAGATAGCATTTAAGGTGGGCTTGGGAAGATGGGTAGAATATTAATTAATAGGTTTAGAAGGAGAAGGGCATTTTGGGTATTGGAAACCAGTGAAACAAACCAAACTACAAGTGTTTGGGATTGGGGAGGAGCCCCAGATGGCTAGATTTAGAGTATTTAAGGAATGAGATAAAGTCTTTAGCTTGTAGAGAATCATGAAGGCCAGAAAAGTTGGAGCTTTATTTGGTGGGTGAGGAGGACCCACTGTAAGTATTTGAGTATTGTTTTTGAGATTGTGTTCTTCTCTAACATACACAATCTTCTGCTTTAAATAGCACAGTGACAAATGAAAAAAAATGTGTCTTTTCTCCCTCTCTTTTCTGACTGATCCTACACCACCTGATAATGTTGTGCCTTACCATCTTGCCTCACCCCTTTCCTGCCTGATCTCCATTAATCACTTGCCTGGTTTCCAGTCTTAGGGAAGAGCGGGAGGGAGAAGAGGTGAGTGCCATACGATTGTGACCCTCACATTTCCTTCCTGATTTCCAGCCTCTGAAAGAGTGCCTTATGCTCTGCTCTTCTGCCTAATCACCATGAATCTCCTTCCTAATCTACAACCTCCTGAAGGGACAGGAGAAGCACCATTACAATATACCAGCCTCCTGTCACAGAGGGTAAGTACTGATACTAGGGGACTTCAATATATATATATATATATACATTTGAGGGAGTATATATATACATATATATGTATATATATACTCCCTCAAATACTCTAATTTTCCCAATTCCTCAGCTTACTCTTCTTTCCTGCCTCAGCCACAAAGCAAAGATGACCTTTATCTTACTATCACCCATAAATGAACCACCTCCATATTCATAAATTTTTTAATTCCTTTACCAGAAACAATCTATTGACTTTTAAACCACTTCCAATGCCCTCCAAATCCAAAACTTGTTTTTCATCTATAAAGTGACTTCTGGTCTTTTGACCCGACAATTCTCTCCCAGGCCCTCAAACCTGTACTAGCAACACTATCCTCCTTTTCCCATCTTGATCCCTTGGTGAACCACTTCAAAGATCTTCTTTTGAGTCCCTTGCCTCCTTATCATATTATACACTGCGTCTTGCCAAGCCTTGGCCTTGGAGTTCACTGCCTTCACCCTACACACTTGCTGCTGAATGAAAGTGGAAAAAAAAATCATTCAACTGTTTTGAGTCTAATACAAATTTATGTTACAAAATTTCAGCTGGGCCCTCTCTGCTATGAGGAATTTTTTTTTAAATTTCCCCAATTAACTCACTATATATATATATACAACACATCAGCTTTCTCAAATGATTTTATCTCTCTTCAAGCCTTTCATCTCTCCTCCTCAATCTCAACTAAGAACTTTATTTCATATTTTACTGAAAAAAATAAGGTCAGGAGTAGGATTAAGGGAAGAGCCAAGATGGCAGATTGGGACAGCCACCCAGTTGAACTCTCCCAATATTCCCCTCCAAACATATTTAAAATAATGCCTTAAATCAAATTTTGTAGTTGCAGAGTCAACAAAATGTTGGGGTGAAGAATTTTTCCTGCCTATGAAAATTTAAGAGGTAGGTAGGAGAAGTCTATGACATGGGGATGGAGGCCTGTCCAGAGCCTACACATCTGGCAGCAGCAGCTGCTGCTACTGCTACTTCAGGAGTTCTCAGCCCAGGGGTAGTAAGGGGGTAAGACAACTGGTCAGAAAGTGATTACAGGAGACCCTTTGCTGGAAGTGGGTACAGTTGGTGCTGTTTGGCAACTCTGTTTCCCATACACAGTTCTGGATCATAGTTTCAGGGTTGAGAGGAGCACTGGTGATTGGTCACAAGGGAGCAGGGCGACAGCTCCAGAGCAAAGAGGAACACTAACAATTGTAGTAGCAGGGGAGCAGAGGAGCTTCCTAAGTATATATCAGAGTGCAGACCAGGAGAGCAATGATAATACCTTTCCCAGGGTCACATCACCTTGGAAGCACCAAAAACTTGTAGACCCCAAAACAAGCTTTGAAAACAGCAGCACAAAAAAGCCTGAAGCTTGGGACAGGGCCTTCCCACCCTTAGGTGAAGAGTCCAGCTTTGAACATAAAGTTCAAAGTTAAGAAATAGGCTGGAAAATGAGCAAACAACAAGAAAAGAATTTGACCATTATAAACTATTTAGTGGCAGGAGAGACTAGGATATAAACTGAGAAGAAGAAAACAGCCAAAAAAAAAGCCTCAAAAAATGCTGATTGGATCCAAACCAAACAAGAATTCCTGGAACAATTAAAGAAAAAGATAAGAGTGGTAGAAGGAAAAATGGGAAAAGAAATTAGAGTGATGAAGGAAAATTATGAAAAGGGAATTAACAACTTGGTAAAAGAGGCACAAAAAAAGTAAAGAAAATTACTCCTTAAAAAAAACAAACAAACAGAATTGGCCAAATGGAAATGGAGGTACAAAAATTCACCAAAGAAAAGAACTCCTTACAGTCAGAATTGGTTAAATGCAAAAAGAGGTGCAAAAGCTCAGTGAAGGAAATGATTCCTCAAAAATTAGAATTGGACAAGTGGAAGCTAATAACTCCATGAGATATCATGAAAGAATAAAACAAAGTCAAAAGAATGAAAAAATAAAAGACAATGTGAAATATCTCATTGGATAAACAAATGCCCTGGAAAATAAAATGAGGAGAGATGATTCATGAATTATTGGACTATCTGAAAGTCATGTTCAAAAAACAACCTAGGCATCATATTTCAATGAATTATCCAGGAAAACTGCCCTGATATCTTAGATCCAGAGGGTTAAGTAGAATTTGAAAGAATTCACCCATCACCTCCTGAAAGAGATGCCAAAATAAAAACTCCCAGGAATATTAAAGTCAAATTCCAGATATCCCAAGTCAAAGAGAAAATACTTCTAATTTCCAGAAAGAAACAATCCAAATATTGTGGAACCGTAGTCAGGGTTCACAAGATACAGTTGCTTCCATAATAAAGGAGTAGAGGGCTTATAATATGATATTCCAGAAGGCAAAGGAGCTAGGAGTAAAACCAAAAATAGCCTAACCAGTAAAACTGAGTGTAATTCTTTGGGGAGGCGGGGAGAGATATTTAATGAGATAGAGGACTTTCAAGTGTTCTTAATAAAAAGAGCAGAGCTGAACAAAAAAAATGATATTCAAACAGAAGACTCAAGAAAAGTGTAAAAAGAGAAACATGAAAGAGTAATCATAAATAACTCAATAAAGTTAAACTGTTTACTTTCCTATATGGGAAGATGATACATGTACCTCTTAAGTACTTGATCATTATTAGGGCATTTAAAAAGAGCTGACATTGACAGATGTCATTGGTAGGAATGGATTATGTTGGAAAGATCTCCAAAACAATGAAAAGATGCGAAAGAGGGATGCACTGGGAGGGGGAGAAAGGAGAGGTAGAATGGGGAATTTTTTTTTTTTAGTAGATCTATTTTCCTTTTGCTTTGTTTGTGATTATGATTGGTATCCCTGCCTTTCACAAGGAAGAGCTTTACAATGGCAGGGAAGATGGAGGGGTTGGAGGCCAATTCTTGACCCTCACTCTCATTGGAATGGGTTCAAAGAGGGAAGAACACGCACACACATATACAAACATAGTTGTGTATAGAAATGTAACCTAATCAATAGGAAAATAGGAAAGGAGGAATGATGAAAGGGAGGACAGATTAAGGGAGGCAGTGGTAGAAGCAAAAAATACTTCTAAGGAGGGACAGAAGAGAGAGAGAAGAAGAAGAAGAAGAAGAAGAAGAAGAAGAAGAAGAAGAAGAAGGAGGAGGAGGAGGAGGAGGAGGAGGAGGAGGAGGAGGAGGAGGAGGAGGAGGAGGAGGAGAAGACAGAGTGAAGGGAAATAAACAATAATCATAACTGTGAATATTAATGGGATAATCTCATCCATAAAATGGAAGCACATAGCAGATTGAATTAGAAAACAGAATACAACAATATGTTGTTTATAAGAGGCACACTTGAAACAGAAAGACACATATAGAGGTAAAATAAAAGACTGGAGCAAAATTTAATATGCATCAGCTGAAATAACAAAGGCAGGGGTAGCAATCATGATCGCAAACAAAGCAAAAGAAAAAATAGACCTACTCAAAAGAGATAATCAAGGAAACTACATTGTGCTAAAATGTTTCATAGGCAATGAAGTAATACAAAATAACTTTTACAGCAAGTTTCTCTTATAAAG